CGTAAACTCGCAATTGCGAGAAAAAAGTCAGAATTGCAAGACGTAAACTCGCAATTGCGAGAAAAAAGTCAGAATTGCAAGACGTAAACTCGCAATTGCGAGAAAAAAGTCAGAATTGCAAGACGTAAACTCGCAATTGCGAGAAAAAAGTCAGAATTGCGAGACGTAAACTCGCAATTGTGAGAAAAAATTATGAATTGCGAGATATAAAATCGCAATTAAGAAAAAAGTAAGAATTGCGAGATATAAACTTGCAATTACGGGAAAAAAGTCAGAATTGCAAGACGTAAACTCGCAATTGCGAGAAAAAAACTAAGAATTGGGAGATGTAAACTCGCAATTGTGAGAAAAAAGTAAATATTTTGTAAGAATTGCGAGATATAAACTTGCAATTACGAGAAAAAAGTCAGAATTGCGAGATATAAACGTGCAATTACGAGAAAAAAGTCAGAATCGCAAGACGTAAACTCGCAATTGCGAGAAAAAAGTCAGAATTGCAAGACGTAAACTCACAATTGCGAGAAAAAAGTCAGAATTGCAAGACGTAAACTCGCAATTGTGAGAAAAAAGTCAGAATTGCAAGACGTAAACTCGCAATTGCGAGAAAAAAGTCAGAATTGCAAGACGTAAACTCACAATCGTGAGAAAAAATTATGAATTGCGAGATATAAAATCGCAATTAAGAAAAAAGTAAGAATTGCGACATTATATCATGCAATTTTAAGAATTTCTTTTTGAATTGCGACATGTAAACTCGCAATTACGAGAAAAAAAGTCAGAATTGTGAAATAAAAAGTCGCAATTGCCTTTTTTATTTTTGATTCAGTGGCGGAAACAAGCTTCCATGCGATGGCGTGGACTCCGATTGGAATGAACCGGCGAAATTTCGCCGAGCAGCGGTAAATGTGACCGCACCTTTAATAGGAAATACAGATGTTTAGGGCATCAAGTGTCTTCAATCATCGTCATAAAACCATTAAGTCTAAAACGATCAGCTGAACGATATTCAGTAGGCTATGATGCCTAGTTTTGCATTGAAGTTAACAAGCCACGGTTAGCTGGATGAATAAATGAGTTTGTGACATCAAGACAAATGACCTACGGGAGAGATGCAACATTTCATAAGTGGGTCAGTAAGCGCTCGAAAGCACCTCTTGGCTGCAGTCCCAGTGTGTGAGTCTTTAGCATTGATTTCTCTATCTCTGCATCCTGTCTCCGCAAGGACACGGCAAAACTCGAGCTGCTCCTCAGGTGTCAGATTCCTGTCTGCTTCATCCGCTGCGCACGTCTTTCCTAACACACCTCTCACAGAGATGGAGCTTTCCACCAACACTTTTCACATCAAGCATCATCATATCAAATACCCTTCATAAATGACTGATTTGTCATTGCTTAATGTAGAAATGGAAAATCGGCAGTGCTGATTTGATTAACAAGGAAGCTTTTTTCAGGCGAAGATTGACCTTCTTTCCCAAGCAGAGTTCAGCATCTAGGTTTTGTTTAACATGCAGCTTGTTTACTTCTAGACTACATCGGTACTGCGCATCACAGGTTTCTATGGTACAAAAATCAGATGAACGACTTGATAAAGTGAGTACTAAGGTAAATGCATCGTGATGCTACGCACATTAAAAGCTCACACAGACGATAGCAAAAAGAGATTGTCAGTTAGGCGTCAAATAACACGGTTTCTCCGTGATAGATGCATAGGTGAAGCGAGAACAAAGAGGTGGTATAAAATTCACAATTTCCATAGTAAAGCTATTGATCCATAAGAACAAAGAGGTCTACTTTTTCAAAGACTGAATAGCATATATGATAAAGCGAGTGGATGACAACACCCAGGGGCGATTTTGAGATTATCGTCCGATTACGGTCAGCTTCAATTCACAGAAATGTTACTTATCTACCAGATTTTAGCAGTGAATTTTCAGTGAATACAATGTCAAATGTATGTCTCATTTGGTATGATTAGATTGTGTTATGGTTGGGTCCAAAAGTCTGAGACCACACTGAAAATATGATATACGTATTCCACACATACATCTCGGAGACGTCTTTTTGATGTGCATGTTTTCATTTGCAAGATGTATTTTTTAGCGTGTTTCCTCATCTGCAATACGTCTCCTGTCAGATGTTAAATAGACATTTAGAAAACGTCTTTAAGATGTTTATGATTTAGACTGTATGTAAAACTGACTTTTTAAAGATGTTTATAAGATGTTTGTACACATCAGATGCTTTCCAAATGAACTGCTCTTTAACATATTAATCTTGGAGACGTACATGTGCTATATTTTTTTGGACATAAACAGAAATATTTGGAGAGAAAAAAAGATGAAAGGAAGGTTATGACAAAATATGGAAGAAATTTAACGATTCTGCACTAGATCACTAAGCAGATTTGTGACACTGACCATTTTTTAAATTAAACTTTGTGCTCACGTTCGCTGATAATATAATTACATTCCTGTAGTTTAAACAGTAGAGCATGGCGCTAGCAACGGCATCGGTCAAGGTTCAATTCCCAGGGAATGCATCAACTAATAAAATGGATAACTTGAATGCAATGTCGGTTACACTTTATTTCAATAGTCCACTTTTGACAATAACTAACATGTCAACTAACTCTCATTAGACTATAGTAGACTGTTAAGTTAGGGTTAGGTGACAGTTTAAATGTTGAATTTCAATGTGGGATTGTGAATATTGCGCATAATTGTACTCATTCCTGCAGATTTTGTCTTGGCGAGTATTCACATAAACACTATCAGTTATGTTATAAGTGAATGTAAACATTTGATAAAGAAAACGCATAAAGGATCAGTGCATCAGGTCTTAAAGTGACAGCAGCCTAATATTCCTGCTGACAAATTATGAGATAATATTACAAATATCTATATGGCGGTTTTTCCCCATGGTATCGGAAATTGTGGCCAGTGAAAATGCTGAGTGGCTAGTAACTTCATCAGCTGAAAAAAAAAAGTGAATCCAATGATATCGTTTCTCAGTGATGTTATTGTTATGGTTGTAGAGTGAACTGTGCTATTCTTTTATATTTAGAACAATTTTTAGAACTATATCTTTATCGTTATAGTTATCGTCGGTGTGAACGGGCCTTTAGAGTTCGGATTAGAAGAATGAGTTGATGTAGTTGAAAACGTACTTATTGTCAGAGGAGTGTTTATTGGGAGAGCCTCAAAATAAAGTGTTATCTGATATTAAACAGATATTCTACTAGTGCTTTAGTAATACTCTAATGAGAGTTAGTTGACATGTACATAGTTGCAAAGTTACTATGTCTAAAGTGGACAATCGAAATATAGTGTCCACCAAATGCATAAGTAATGGAAATGTTGGATTAAATAAAAAATAATACAAAATAGATGCATTTTCACTAGTGGTCTCGCAGACTTTTGAACTGTATATTGTGGCTCCAAAACCAAAGTCTGAATGTAATTCTATTAGAAATGAAATATCAAACCAAATGGCAGCTGTGCTCAAATGCTGCGCGGGTTTCCCCCCCGAACCATTTCCGCAATGACGTTTACCCAACTGGTGTATTGGTGATTTTTAGTGGATGCATGAAGTCAGTTGTTCTCAAGCTCACACGGGTGTCCAAGCAGAAGATCTACGGGTGGCTGTGCGCGAGTGTGAGGCCGATGAAGAGCAGCACAAGAATGGCGAGGCAGGAGAGGGTGACACACACGTATCCACTTGTTCCGGCCGTTCTGGGACAGTGTGGTCGTAGTGGACTCCGTCGAGCTAGTTCTGTATCCAGTAGTCTGGGACGGGCATCATACAGGGCATCTGATGTGCCGCGGCTGCTCACGTGTGCAGACACTTGTCGCACTGCAAGATTTTGGGCTGAAATAGTTGAAATACTAGCACTCGTCGTTGGCCCGTGATCTAATAGTGACTCATTAGATGCGTCTATAAATACTAGTCCTTCTTTAGTTATTGAAGTTTGCTATTCAAGTAGTTACTACAGTTTTAGTACTAATTGAATAGACGCCTATGTGAACTCCATTGGTAACATTTTTACAATAAGGTTCTATTTGTTAGCATTGGTTAACTACATTAGTTAACATGAACTAACAATGAAAAAATACATCTAAAGCATTTATTAATCTTAGTTAGTGTTCATTTCTACATTTAATAACACATTATTCAAATCAAAAATTGTTTCTGTTAATCTTGTTGGTAGCACTTTACAATAAGGTTTCATTTGTTAACATTATTTAACTGCATTAGTTAACATTAACTAGCGAGAAACAATACTTTTACAGCATTTATTAATATTAGTTGCTGTTACATTTACTGATACATTATTAAAATCAAAGTTTGTATCAGTTACCAGTTAATGCACTGTGAGTGTGACCTAACATGAACAAACAATGAATCATTTTATTTTTAACAAAGGTTAATAAATGCTATATATAAATATTTTTCTCATATTTAGTTCATGTTAACAACTGCATTAACCAATGTTAATAAAGAAATGAGACCTTATTGTAAAGTGTTACCATATTATTTATTTATAGGATTTAAGCTCACATGAACTAACAACAGATTCATTTTTATTAATAATGATAACACAGATTAATAAATACTGTAAAAATGTATTGCCCATGATTAGTTAATACCGAAACTATTGTTAACTGAACATGTTTTCGCTATTTTTTGGCTAATCATTACACAAATATAAACAATTGAGTGAGATCACCTAAAAAAAAAAATTTGGGATTAATTTTAAAAAGTAAACTGGTTGCCTTAAAGTTATAGTTCATTGAAATTAAAAAGTTTAGTTAATACAATAAAGGAGTTTGACTTAATCAACATAAACTCAAAATATTATGTTATCTGAACCACAAATTATCTAAGTTGATTTGACAAATGAAAATTTTAGTTATACATGCCTAATATTATAAAAGATAGTAACATAAGAAGAAACTACTTGGTTGCCTATTAAGCAATAAGAGCTGAAAGGGCTCGATGCAGATCTTCTGTCACGCGTTTCTCCGGCTGGCATTAGTGGAGGCAGAGGAGCGGCCCGGCTCGTGCTCCGGTCTGTCTTTGAGCCAGTAGAGGAGCCACGTTACCATCGCAGACACCATGGCGAGGATGCTCGCGATCGACAGACACAGGGGTCCCGCGGGCGAGGGCGGCCCGCCGTGGCTGTGCACGAATATGAGGCCCATGAAGAGCAGCACGAGCATGGAGAGCAAGGAGAAGATGACGCACACGCACCCGGTGGTCAGCGCGAGACGTCTGCAGTTGCGGCAGCTCTCGTAGCGCGAGACCGAGTCCTGGGACAGCGTGGTCGCGGTGGACACCGTCGTGGTGGACGCAAGGATGGACGCGTCCTCCTCGCGCCTGAGCGCCACGAGCGCCGGGTGCATCGGAGGCGGGTGCGGCGGAAGGGCATCTTGAGGCACAGGGTCCGAGTCGATGTACAGAGGGAAGTCCTCTGTGACCTTGGTGTTGTTGGGCAGGTTCTGGATCCGGTATTCGGGAACGGACGTGCGGTGTCGGCACACGGGGCAGCTGATGCGCCACGGCCGCTCCTCGCACAGTTGCAGCGCGTGCAGACACTCCTCGCAGAACGTGTGCAGGCACTCCAAGATCTTGGGCGCGCGACGGTCGAGGTCGAAATAGTTGTAGCAGATTTTGCACTCGTATTCCTCGTAGGGAAACGCCTTTGGTGTCGGGAGAGCAGGCGGCTCCGACCCGTTATCTGCCATGGCATCTCGCGCTGCCTCACATCCTCGACACAATGGGCGCGAGGCAGTCACGCGCGCCGCCTTTTCTTCTCTTTATCCTGTCAGCGAAAGCCCGTGCTCCCGTTAAACCCGGACATTTTTGTGTAAGGCCTTTTTTTAAAAACGGTTCTTTTAGTCTCCGTGCACGCTGAGTAGCCTAAATAATTAACCGTATCGTTCCAGTCCGGAAGGGAGGTGATGTAATGCTTTGCTCTCTCTCATCCAGAACCGATGTGTGTGTGTGCGACCGAGCCCGGAGATGCGGGACGCGGGAATCACACCTCAATCAAAGCATCAGACACGCGTACGGGTCAAACGGCACGAGCCTTTCTGCTAAAGGATGCTGTGTTTACGTCAGTAGATTTAACTCTTTTTTTGCTGTCCAAACATCTCTGTGTATCCCCCCCCCCCCAATAAAACATTACCGACTACCTGTAAATAAAAGCTGGCCATTTAACCGTGTTTATTCTTCATTGCGAGTCATTTACCTGTTTTTTCGTTTGCTCACATTGTTGTCATGGAAACTAATAACCCAGAAACAGGTGACTTGCACACTATTTCAGGTTCATTCGTTCCAGAGTTCTCATACACCCTCCATTCAATCAAATAAACGTTGTTTTATTTCGTGAGACAACTAGCCCCGGTGTCCCTTGTGTGTTGTTATAAATTGGATAAAATATAAAACTCACAATTTTAAAATATAGAAATCACATTTTCCCCATATTTTTCCAGGTGCTTGTAACTTCTGATGTGAAAAAAACTGACAATTAGATTTATAAAATATATATATATATATATATATATATATATATATATATATTTTAGTCAAACAAAACATGTTGAATGGTCCTCAGTCAGGAAGTTTGTTTTAACAGCAGAACCACCAGGGCCCAGTTGTTCAGAAGAAATATGATCAGATCTGTCTGTTATTAGATTGGATCAAGTCTTGCAAATGGGTTAAATCATGTAGTAGCCTATTGGTTTGGATTTGGATTATGTAAAAAAACAAACAAACACATTTTAATATTATTCCTATTTCTGATCCCAGTAAAAGGGGAGTTTCATGGGGTGGATTTCAGGCTATATGAAACTTTAAAACTGGTCAAATAATGCAACGTTTGTATCATAGTGTAGCCTACACACACATATACACATTTTAGACTTGATTTGTTTAACCGCTAACATACAGACAGCATCTTCAACATACAGACAATACATACAACAATACGTCACACAATTTAACAATGCTTGTTTAAAATAAATGTGTGTATTGTTGTTATATTGTGCTGTTTTCTGTCTGGAAAAGTTGGTATCTGAGGATCAAGGTTATCCAATCCAGTTTTGCTTTGAAAAGTCAGCAGAATTAAGATTGGATTACCTCATCCTGGATAAAGCAAAACATGGGATTTCCAAGCCTGAATCATTCTGATCCTCCAGATTAAACTTTTTGAACAACTGGGATTTTTCGAGTCCCTCATGTAAGATAACCGTCAATCCCTTACTGAGCAATTGAGCATTGTGTAAATATTCAACCGAATCAGGTCGCAGTGCCTGAGCTTGACCAGAACACATCTGTGTGTGTGTGTGTGTGTGTGCGTGTGTGTGTGTGTGCGTGTGCGTGTGTGTGTGTGTGTGTGTGTCTATTTGTTAATGAGGGATTTGTGGACACATAGTTTTGGGATTTTTGGAGTAAAAGTTACAGTTTTTATTTTGAAGTAAAAAGATAAAATTAGAGCCTTGGGGTAAGATGGGCCACCATAATTGCCACAGAAGGCCCCAAGTGGCATCTTGTTACTAGTGTTATTATTATTATTTTTTATTATTATTATAATTAATGGGGTTATTATTCAGTATTTCCATGGATTAGATGTAGGCCTACATTTTAGACATATTTGCCAACATCATTCAAGTTGATTTCACACTGTTGCTATTATCACATATCTTCAATTAAAATATGGGCAATTAAATAAGTAAATATTCATATACCTATACATAATTTTACCTTTCGGATTAATTTCTTTTAACGGGATTCTGCTTTGTCTGTCATCACTTATTCAATCAATATCAACTCAAAATTTAAATGCAATAAATTATTTAGTATTTTACATTAATGACACTTTGAAAATATATAAATATGAATAAGAATGATATCAAATGTCATTCAGCCTATATATTCTGTAAAAGTTTATCCACAGTTCGTGGGGGTGGGTGGGTCTTACTCCTCTTTTAATAGTTGTGCTTAAACAAGTAAATAAGCTGTTTCTATACTTATTCCTATAATAACACATTGGTTGATGCATCATCATCCTGCACATGCTAAACTTATATCTAAATAAGTTACAATTTAAAAGTAAATCCTACTCTACAACTACATGGCACATGGCAGGAATGACTCACCTGTGACAGGTATGATAAGCGGTTGATTTTCCATGGGTACACATATAGCCAATCAAAATAGCCATACGCTTCTCTACGTCAGCACACTTTGACGCGCTGTCACCTGCAGCTGTAGAACACACCTGTGAACGCGCGCTGGGCCGGTGCGGAAGCCAGAGCTCAAACATGTGGGGGGTCATCTCGTACCTGAACAGCCCCGAGCTGGTGGTCAGCTTCCAGCGGTGCTGCGGCCTGGTCCTGAGAGAGAGAGACGCGTTTATCACTCAAAACAGACGCGTAAACGCCAACGGATCCGCTCCGGTCACGATGGAGCGGCGCAGAGCGGAACCGGCGTCGAACGGGACGTCGCGCGCGCACGACAGAAACTCCAACTATAAATCCGCCAGTTCACAGTGTGAACACAAAGTGAGTAAATCAGATTTAAAAGACGCTCTTTTTTTCAGGTGAATTAAAACCGTGAGTTTCCCCCTAACGCGAAGACAATGCGTTTCAAAACAAATAGCCTACCAAACGACAAGATTTTCCTGTTTTTCTGGTTGCTTTAGAATAGAAGTTTATTAAACAAATTGATGACTCACCATGTTCTTTTAAATAATTTTGTTTTTAATACAGTAAGCTATGTACTGAGAGGCAGATCTCTCAAATTGTACTTTCAAATATTTGACATACCTTGCATTAATAACATAAGAGTACTTAAACAAAAATATTAAATAATAATGTTTATGCCATTTCAGTTTTTAATGTGGATTAAAATTTTGTATTTTCATAATTTGGGTGAACTATGAGATGGATCACACAGATAAAGAGTTTTTTATGGTGCCACACATGCCTTTCAAAATGTTGAAACACTATTGAAAAATATAGTTTTATATTTGAAGACTTCATTATGCAACAACCTCTAAGTCAGTCTGACATTTTTCTTTTAAATTGTGATTTTCATCAGGCTTTAATTTCACTTAATTGCGATGAAAGGTTTACCAGTCAGTTATTGAAATGTCTTATTTTCAAAAATGTCTCGAGTAAAATTAAAAACAAAACAAATGCTCAGTTAAAAGAAAAATGTTAGACTGACTTAGAGTTTTTTGCATCTGAAGCCTTAATTTATATTTTAATATTTTATTTTTTAAGTTTATTTATTTTATTTATACATTTATTTATATAGCGACAGTACAAAAAAACATGATTCCAGTCCAAAACTGGAAAATATGCATTGCACATCGAGAGTATAGCATAAGCGAATTGCGTCTCGGGTCCCAGAAAGGCTTTAAAAAAAAAAAAAAATTCTATAAAAAAAAACTACTAATCATGGAATACAGCATGTCATTTATACACGTACAAATACAATCCTAAATGACCTGTACCTGTTTTAAGGATGCTCCCAACCCTGGCATGAATAACTAATTAAAACAAACATTTATAAATTTTTTGCTTGTGATTCCTGTTGATGTGATGATACAGTTTGAGTTCCTCTGTGTACAGGATGGTCCCAGGCCTCATTACGAGGTGAGGAACTGGCTGTTCTACTTCCTGTTTGTGACGTCGGCCACTCTGGGTCATGAAGTGTTTTACATCACCTTTCTGCCCTGCATCCACTGGAACCTCGACCCCTTCCTGTGCAGGAGACTCGTCAATGTGTGGGCTGTGAGTGGCCGAGATACACACACACACACACACACACACACACACACACACACACACACACACACACACACACACACACACACACACACAAACCCTCTCTCACTCACTCACTCACTCACACACATTCTCACACACACACACAAATTCGCTCACACGCACACTCTCTCTTACACACACACTCTCTCTCTCACACACACACTCTCTCTCTCACACACACATTCTCTCTCTCTCTCTCTCTCTCTCTCTCTCTCTCTCTCTCTCTCTCTCTCTCTCACACACACACACACACACACACACATTCTCTCTCTCTCTCTCACACACACACACACACACACAAATTCTCTCACACACTCACTCACTCACACACACACACACACACACACACATTCTCACACACACAAAAATTCTCTCTCACACACACTCTCTCTCTCTCTCTCTCTCACACACACACACACATTCTCTCACACACACACTCTCTCTCTCACACACACACTCTCTCTCTCACACACACGCACACACAAACATTCTCTCTCTCTCACACACACACACACACACTTTCTCTCACACACTCTCTCTCTCTCTCACACACACATACACACACATTCTCTCTCTCTCACACACACACACACACACACATTCTCTCTCTCACACACACACATTCTCTCTCTCACACACACACACACACACAAATTCTCACACATTCTCTCTCACACACACACACATTTCTCTCTCTCTCTCTCTCTCTCTCTCTCTCCTCTCTCTCTCTCTCTCTCTCTCTCTCTCTCTCTCTCTCTCTCTCTCTCTCTCTCTCTCTCTCTCTCTCTCTCTCTCTCTCTCACACACACACACACCCTGTGAATAAAATGATTTTGTGTGCATAGACTCCTTATACCGTTTGGTCTTTACCCACAATGGAATAGGAATGTCTTTAACAAAATTTGAATTGGAAAGCTGTATAAAAAGAACCGCACAGAACAGCGCATCTCATCCCTCTCTCCTCAGGTGGTGATGTATATCGGGCAGGTGATGAAGGATATTTTAAAGCTGCCCCGTCCTCCGTCTCCCCCTGTGGTTAAACTGGAGACTCGTGTGGACGCGGAGTACGGCTTGCCCTCCACACACGCCATGGCAGCAACAGCCATCTCATTCACACTGCTTCTCAGCGCTCACGAGAGAGTAAAGGTCAGGCACACACA